CGCCATCCTAATAGCGCTCTTACAGCGCCATACCCTCCGGCACTCTTACAGCGCCAAACCCACCCGCACTCTTACAGCGCCATCCTAATGGCGCTCTTACAGTGCCATACCCACCGGCACTCTTACAGCGCCATCCTTATGGCGCTCTTACAGCGCCATACCCACCGGCACTTTTACAGCGCCATCCTAATGGCGCTCTTACAGCGCCATACCCACCGGCACTCTTACATGGCGCTCTTACAGCGCCATACCCAGCGGCACTCTTACAGCGCCATCCTAATGGCACTCTTACAGCGCCATACCCAGCGGCACTCTTACAGCGCCATCCTAATGGCCCTCTTACAGCGCCATACCCAGCGGCACTCTTACAGCGCCATCCTAATGGCCCTCTTACAGCGCCATACCCAGCGGCACTCTTACAGCGCCATCCCAATGGCGCTCTTACAGCGCCATACCCAGCGGCACTCTTACAGCGCCATCCTAATGGCGCTCTTACAGCGCCATACCCAGCGGCACTCTTGAAGCGCCATCCTAATGGCCCTTTTACAGCGCCATACCCAGCGGCACTCTTACAGCGCCATCCCAATGGCGCTCTTACAGCGCCATACCCAGCGGCACTCTTACAGCGCCATCCTAATGGCGCTCTTACAGCGCCATACCCAGCGGCACTCTTACAGCGCCATCCTAATGGCCCTCTTACAGCGCCATACCCAGCGGCACTCTTACAGCGCCATCCCAATGGCGCTCTTACAGCGCCATACCCACCGGCACTCTTACAGCGCCATCCTATGGCGCTCTTACAGCGCCATACCCAGCGGCACTCTTACAGCACCATCCTATAATGGCGCTCTTACAGCGCCATACCCACCGGCACTCTGACAGCGCCATCCTAATGGCACTCTTACAGCGCCATACCCACCGGCACTCTTACAGCGCCATCCTAATGGCGCTCTTGCAGCGCCATACCCAGCAGCACTCTTATAACAGCGCCATCCTAATGGCGCTCTTACAGCGCCATACCCAGCGGCACTTTTACAGCGCCATCCTAATGGCGCTCTTACAGCGCCATACCTAGCGGCACTCTTACAGCGCCATCCTAATGGCACTCTTACAGCGCCAAACCCACCGGCACTCTTACAGCGCCATCCTAATGGCACTCTTACAGCGCCATACCCACCCGCACTCTTACAGCGCCATCCTAATGGCACTCTTACAGCGCCAAACCCACCGGCACTCTTACAGCGCCATCCTAATGGCACTCTT